CATATATATATATATATATATATATATATATATATATATATGTATATAAACTCCAATCTGATACAGATTTACTCACACACACACACACACACACACACACACACACACACACACACACACACACACACACACACACACACACACACAGACACACACACACGTACAACACGACAAAAACGCCACACAACACACACACAAACACACACACATACACAGAACCTCACACTCTATTGTTATTTTTAACCCAGTGGAAAAACCAATCCACCTTGGTTGTCCAACTTCCGCCATAGGCATCATTGAATCTGTCCTGGAAATACACCAAAGCCATGGAATCGATATCCCCAACTTTCAAGGTGTTCCTGAGGTAATTTAGATCCTCAGTCGTCTGCAGTTCCGGAATACCAGATAGAATCATCATAGCGAAGAGGCTTATAATGAGGTTCGAGTGTTTGCGTAGGCTCAAGAAGGATTTGCCGCATAGTTCCATGAAACTGTAGGTGTTTGTTTGTTTGTGTATGTTTGTGTGTGTCTCTGTGTGTGTGTGTGTTTGTAAGTGTAAGTATCAATTATTGGGTGCGTTAGTTTGTGTGTGTGCGTGTGTGTGTGTGTGAGTGTGTGTGTGTGTGTGTGTGTGTGTGTGTGTGTGTGTGTGTGTGTGTGTGTGTAAGTACCGATTGTCGGATAGATGCTAATGACGATGGTGAGTGAGAAAGATGGTGGTGGTAAACATCACCATTTCCATCAAAACTATCACCAACCCCATCTCATCACACCACCGTCATCACCAACTTGGAAAACTCGGCACTCTTCTCTGGGTTGTCCTGCCCCCTGGCGATTACTCGCATGAAATCTTCAGTCAGGACAAAAGGGACCCTCTCTCTATTTATGCCAAATTTTTTCTTCCTATGGTCTAAGAAATGTCCGAAGTCAATGTGGAAAACCTATGACGTAGTTATGACGTCACGATAGTTAATGAACGAACGAATGAATGAATGAATGAATGAATGAATGAATGAATAAACGAATGAACGAATGAATAAATGAATGAATGAATAAACGAATGAATGAATGAATGAATGAACGAAAGAATGAATGAGTGAATAAATGAATGAATCACTGAAGGAAGGAAGGAAACAAGGAAAGAGTAAACAAATGAACTCCTTGACCCTAACCTGCCCACTTTCCGTGACCATGATATTAGATGGATGTCTATCGCCGACACCAAGGACAAAAGTGGCCACGCAGTACCCAGCACACGATCGAGTGAATGTATCTATGGCCTCTTGATACGCACATCTCTCTTGGGGACTGCCGATGCTGGCGCTGCTTAGGATTGGCGGACTGCTGGAGGAGAGTTAAGGAAGTTAGGGAGTTACGAAAAATTTTGGAATAGGCGAAAATCTATGCTTTGGAGTGTTTAAAAATTAAGAAACTAAGAAATAATAATCATTGTCATCATCTTCACCACAGCCTACCATCGCCAAACTCCACCCACACACACATCATCACACACTAACCCAATGTCATCTTTACCATTTCCAACACCACCACCACCACCACCACCACCACCACCACCACCACCACCACCACCACCACCACCACCACCACCACCACCACCACTGATACTACTACTAGTACTGTGTAGTCTAACAAGAGCAGCAGATGAAATGCTACCGCACCTAAATCTACTGCTACTGCTAATACTACCACTCCTGCTGTTACTACAGCCGCCGATGCCACTACCAGCGACAAACGCATAGGCATCAGCAGCAGTATTTGGACTTGTAGTATCATTGTCGTCGTCGTATTTATCATCATTAATAGCACTCCCAACATCGTTGTTATTAACATTGGTATTAGTAACAGCAGCAGCAGTAGTAGCAACAGCAGCAGCAGCAGCAGCAGTAGTAGCAGTAGAAGCATCAAACATAAAATCATAATTAGCAACTGGAGTGACAGAGCTGGTTAGGGAAGGAGTTCTACTTTTGTTAAGAGCAGTAGAGCCGGAGTAATAGCTATTAATATCAGCGTTATTAGTGTTAGCAATAACATTACTAGAGGTAGTAGTACTAATAGTAGCAGTGTAATTAGCGTTATAAGTAGTAATGGTAGTAGCAGAAGTAGCAGCAGCGGCGGCATCAGCGGTAGTGGTAGTGGTAATCAGGATTTTGTTTTTTTCTCTGATCCAGTTATGCAGCTGGGAGCAGCGGAAATCCTTGTTCAGTATCTGCATGACTGTGCGACTTTTGCGCACTACCTCTATCAATCCGGCGTTCAATCCCGTCGCTAAGCAGCCGTACGGAGTCAATCTGTGTGCGTGTGTGTGAATGAATGAATGAATGAATGAATGAAATAATGAATGAATGAACAAACGAATGAACGAACGAACGAATGAATGAATGAACGAACGAATGAACGAACGAATGAACGAATGAATGAATAAATGAATTGCGTAATTTACTGTCCAAATGTTTTTGGGAATTATCTGAGAAAACGAATGAAGAAATTAAATTAGCGAGTACTTACGTGTGTATATATGTGAGTGTGTGAGTGTGTGAGTGAGTGAGTGAGTGAGTGAGTGAGTGAGTGAGTGAGTGAGTGAGTGAGTGAGTAAATCATCATTACCTCATATCGAGACCCTCCTGCTGCCAAATACTATCCATCAGTGCAAAAACCTGCAGGGTCAACATGTCCTGCCTCAGATCTGTAACGATGATGATGATGAGGAGGAGGAGGATGATGATGACGAAGACGAAGATGTAACATCATCATCAACCACAACATCATCATCAACATTATCATCATCATCAACATCATCATCATCAGCCACAACATCATCGTCAACATCATCAACAGCAACATCATCATAAACATCATCATCATCACCAACATCATCATCAACAGCAACATCATCATCATAACCAACCGTCACCCATCTTGAAGATGATTTGAAAATCTTGGAAGGTCCCTTGAGCCATGGGGTCAGGGTTCTTCCACGTCAGCAAGAGAGGGCGCTTCTTCGAGGCCTTGACATCACATTGGCTGACTCTGTGATGATGATTGTGATGATGACTAGTATGGTGGAAAAGAATGATGAGGACGACGATGATGAAAAATAGGATGATTGTAACAAACCAATCACATCGTCATCATCATTCTTTTCATCACCATCATCACAGACACCATCACCATCACAGACACCATCACCATCGTCATCACAGACATCATCATAGTTATCAGCAACCCACATGAGCTCTCCGAGTTTGTAGCTACAGTTGAGTGGCGAGGTGAAGTTGCTGAGGACCTCAATGTAGTCCGAGGATTGCAGCTGCGTCTGTAAACTCTTTACCTGCAAGTCCTGTCGGTCAATGAACGAATGAATGAATGAATGAATGAATGAATGAATGAATGAACGAATGAATGAATGAACGAATGAATGAATGAATGAATGAATGAATGAATGAAAGAATAAATCTATCTATCTATCTATCTATCTATCCATCCACCCATCCATCCATCTATCCATCCATCCATCCATCCATCCATTCATCCATTAATCTATCTACTATCTATCTATCTACCTATCATTTTATCTAGCCATCTATCTGTGTATCTATCTATCAGTCAGCCAGCAATGAATGAACGAAAGAATAAATGAATCAATCAATCGACTATATACAAAACACAAACAACACAAACAAACACACAAACAAACAAACAAACAAACAACACAAACAAACAAACAAATACACACACAAACAAACAACACAAACAAACAAACAAATACACACACACACAAACAAATAAAAAACACAAACTTCTTTCTCAGTCTTCAACTTCTCAGACAACTTGGTCAGCTTCTCAACGGCTTCAACTTGCTTCAAGATGTCCACAAAATTACTACAGCATCTCAGATAGGCTTCCATAACAAGTGCATAATACAGGTGCTTTGAACTGTGCTGCATGCTGGCTCTATGTTCATTCATTCAGTCGTTCATTCATTCATTCGTTCACTCATCCATCCATCCATCCATTTATTCATTCATTCATTTGTTCGCCAGAGTGTTTGTGAGGCGTAATTAAACTTATAGTGATAATTACGAAGTAATTGTTTCATAATTACGATAATCGTCGTGGTCACCACCATCATCACAATCGCAATCATCACCATCATCATCATCATCATCATCATCATCATAACTAACTTGAGATACCAATAAAATGCTTGGCCAATCCTCTTATTGGTCAGAGCTCTACTTAGTAGGAATCTGACCAAGCCGTTGTCCATAACTTGCTCGAATTCTAAGACCTGAGTGAGTGAATGATTAAATGAATAAACGAATGAATGAATGAAAGAATGAATGGATGGATGGATGAATGAATGAATAAATGGATGAATGAATGAACGAATAGATAGATGGATGGATGAATGAATGAATGAATGAACGAATGAATGAACGAATGAATGAATGAATGAATGAATGACCGGTTGATTGATCAATCCTTCAACTTACGTGAACAAGTTGCAAAAGAAAATACGATAATTGGCAATCAGTTAATCTGTCTTCCAAGCATTTTATTGCAAGATTTCTGCAAAATCAATCAATCAATCAATCAACCAACCAATTAACTAATCAATCAATCAAACAACCAACCAATCAATCAATTAGCCAATCAACCAACCAATCAACCAACCAACCAATCAATCAACCAACCAATCAATCAATCAACCAACCTATCAATCAATCAGCCAATCAACAATCTAACCTGACTTCAAAATCCGAATACGTCCAATAGAGCAGTTCCAGGGCAGTCTCAACCTTTATTGGTGGCCATGACGTCAACATAGAGTGAGTCTGATGATGATGATGATGAAGAACGTGGTGGTGATGATGATGATGATGATGATAGTAATGATGATGATGATGATGATGGTGGTGGTGATGGTGGTGATGATTGTGATGGTGGTGTGGCTAGAAAAATAAGATACACTGGACAATCACCATTATTAGTATCATGATCATCATCACCACTATCATCATCATCGTCAACATCATCATCATCATCATCACTCACAATAGCCACGTCATCCTTACAACTCCATTTGACGGCCTGCAAGAGTTTTGGCAAGGAGTGAGGAATCTTTTGGCAGTATCCTCTGTAGAGAAATCGATTGATTGATTGATTCGTTCATTCATTCATTCATTCATTCACTAATTATTCATCCATTCATTCAATCATTCGTTCGTTTGTTCGTTCGTTCGTTCATACAATCGATCGTTCGTCGAGCTACCGGAATTAAAATGGAGATGAAATACTATTAATTTGGTCTCTCACATACTCATTCATTCATTCATTCATTCATTCATTCATACATTCATTCTTACATTCATTCATTCATTCATTCATTTATTCATTCATTCATTCATCGACTCATTTATCCATTCATTCGTTCGTTCGTTCATTTACTCGCCTAAGGTCCCATAGTAATTCTTTCTCTTGCTCTGTCAGTTCAGACAAAATGTCCTTCCTGATGATGCTCTTTATTGCCTTCACCGAATTCTAGGGTAAAAATATTTCGGCTTCATTGTTGATTAGTCGTATATCGTCATCTTCATCATCGTCATCATCATCATCATCATCTTCGTCGTCATCATCATCATCGTTATCTTCATCATCATCATCGTCTTCGTCGTCATCGTCATCATCATTCCAAACATGACCAATGAGCAAAAAACTCACAAGGTCAGGGACTATATTAACGTTCGTCTTCCTTCCGTCATGACTGCTACCGTCAATATTCAATTCTTTGGCTCGCTTCAGTAACTCCTCCTCCTCCGGAAAAACCAACCTCTGACTACTTTTCACTAATTTTTCAAACTCGATCTCGATCCGGGGACAATCCAGAGATGGGTTGGAACCTTTGATTTAAAATATAAAAACCATAATAATGGAATGCCAATGACAATCAACATGATAATTAAGTTATTTAATGTATCAACCAGCCAACCAACCTACCAGACAACCAACCAACCAACCAACCAGCCAACCGACCAGAAGTGCCCAAAGGGTAGAGTAGTTCTTCATGGCTAGGGGGCAGAGACCACATGCAAATGTTCATATTACCCTGCATGAACTGTTTGTTGAAGTCGAAGAGGTTCACATTGCACCAGAAGACAGCGTACACCATCTGCGTCGTAATTATTTATTTCATTTTATTAGTATAATTGTTAATTATTACACACACACACACACACACACACACGCACGCACACACACATACACACACAGACACACAAACAAACAAACAAGCACACACCTTTTTCTTCTGCTTCTTACTGATACTACAACATAGCGACAGACACAGTCTGGCCGATCTTGGAAGATCACACAGCAGGGCGTCAAACTCCAGCCACTCCTTCCACTTCGGTTCTGACGACTCGACCGGTTGGGTACTTCGAACTTCACACAGGGCCTCTGAGCCGTGGTAGAGGCCTGCCCTTATGAAGTACTGCCCATGATGGCGTGGATGATGATGACGATGATGATGTGGACGACAATAACGATCATTCAATCACACACTGACCACTCATTATCTTCTCCCCCACGGATCTACAAACCTCTCCTTTCTCTTTGGCGTTTACAAAGGTCATATGATTGACCTTGACTTTGAACTTTTTGTTGAGTGACCATGAGGAAACGGGCTGCTGGTTTTTCAATGATTCCATCTGACTTAATCCTTTTTTATTGTCATACACGTATGTATCTTTAATTACAATATAGATATAGACACATCACACAGACACACAGACATACACACACGCACGCACACGCACACACCCGCACAAATACCTTTTTGTATGTAAGAAGGCATGTTGACAACATGCCTAGTTAATGTGCTGTACACTGATTTCTTGTCAACCAACATTAATTCAGGGATTGAATGTGTTGATAGAGTTTGTCTGACATACTGCTCAGAAATTATATTATTATTAATTTGTATTATTATTATTATTTGTATTATAATAATAATAATAATTATTATTATCATAGTTACTGTACTAACTGCATACTGACAGATAGGATAATTCCCGAGAAGATACTCATCACACCCACAAACTTTAAGCAGAGAGTTGGCAGCTCGACTACTTATCACAGACTCCATATCTTCAGGCAAAACTTTCTCCAACTTCACTTTCCGCCTAACCGTCTCACTAATTACCGACATCACTGGAGAGTCATAGTGAACTTTTATGGTCGTCTTGCTCCGACTCTTCGATAGGTGGACATCCACCCATACCGTCACTATGATTCTTCCCAGGTCTGAAAAAAAAAATTGGTGTGGGTGAGAGAGAGAGAGAGAGAGAGAAAGAGAGAGAGGAAGAAAAAGAGAGAGTGAATGAGAGAGCAATCCAGCATACGCATACAAATATCCAATACACATGTACAAATAAACAAAAAAGAAACAAAGGCACCCACCAACCTCTCTTAACGACATCCAGCAAAAATGCTGGCAACTGCAAAGTAGGATTGATATTAGGGGGGTAGTGATAGAGGGCCAGGGCTTCTATGCCCTTGCTGTCTCTCTCCTCTATCACACTTTTACAGTGCTGCATTATTGACCTTCGAAAGTTCAAGAGTTCAAGGTCTTTCGAGTCGTTTATCTCATTTATGGATACACCGATTAGGAAATCTAAGAGTGGGCGATATTAATTTCGGAAGTTGATATACAAACATGTAAATAATGAAAATATTTATAAATAAAAATATATTATTCATTAGCATAAGTACATGATTTATTTGGATTAATTAATTTTAATAAAAATACAGATCTATAAATGACAAATTATCATAAATCTCACTTAATTTGGCATTCAGAATTTTCTCTTCCTTATTTCCAGCTGGTTCTATGAGTTTGAACATCGGTTGGAAGAGTCGAAGATCACAAAGTCTTCTCGTTTCGTCATAAAATTCTTCCCTCTCAGCATCCTGAGTGACGCCAACTAGAACATAACACTGGGGCTCCATTAATTTTTTATACAGGGGGTACATTTTGACCTCTTTCCAAAGATTTGATTTTATTGTCTGCAGCGACGCATCCCTGTTTGCTCTCATTGAAATGAACATCCCGTTTGGCATGAAAAACAAAACTTCCACTTCCGCCGGCATTAAATGATGGCCCCACAGTTCTCCTGAACTGGGTCGAGGAGCCATCTCTGAGTCTTCCAAGTTTATTTTTTAAGGTTAAATCCTAATTTACTTAGAAATTCAAATAAGGATGATGAAGTGATGAAAATCTAACCAATAACTAACTAATCTATTACTTTTACATTGATAAGAAACAAAACAATGTTAATCATCACTTATTCTTTTGTCAATATTATTCGCAAATTTTTAACAAAAATTAATTAATTTATCTATTTAAAATTTTAAATTTTAAAATGTCTGACAGCAATGAATGAGGTAGGAAAGGAGAAGAAGGTTGACATTTGGTTTGAAGTTTAATAATTTGACATGAAAATGACATGAAATGAAATGGTTTGTTTAGTCAGGCAAGAAATTTGTAAGGATTTTTTTTTCAAATAAATAATTGCTCCTTAAACCTAATAAATAACAAGATTCACAGGACTAACAACATCACAAGTCAAACCGTGTAAAAAACACGGGTGTGTATTTTTAGACAAGTTAAACAAGTAAACAAACGTCAGTTAACGCGCATCCGAAATAAAGCAATTTTTAAAAGCAAACTTAGATAGTAAAATCTGTCTATATATATATAATCGTAAACATCTGCCGATCTGCACGATTTTTCTGTCAAAAAGGTTAACAAACTTTGTTTTACTCAGTTTTGAACTAATGTATTTGGAATGTGTTTGCTGTGTTAATTTTCATTAATTATTAACGTATTGCTTTTTTTAATTGTCAGGACTCGCCGGTCTACTTCGCCAAAAAGGATTAGCATTAGGATATCTAATAGACTAATACTAATTATTAGTTAGGGGTTTTACAACTGGTTTACACGTTTACTTTACGGTAAAAGTTAAGTCAAGAAAATTAGTGGGATTTTACGTTACAAAGATGAATTTAACTAATTATTCAAGCTCTGATTCATCAAATGATTCTGCTAACAGTAGCAATGATGAAAGTGCAGAGGACTATTTCAATTTGAAAATTTCGAAAAAAATTAAACCAAAAAAAGTAATTACTACTATTAACACAACTACAGTAACACAACCTCCAGCAATAAATTCTTTTCTGACGGCCACCAACAACCACACAACGTCGACCACAACATCAGCTGCACACTCGTGTTCTTGGTCTTTTGGTTTAAATGACTCAACCACTGCAGCAGTTACCGATTCACCTAATTATTATGAAAGACCTTATCCATCACACAAAGAATTTTACAGCATTTCTTCCTTTTATAGTTGTAACAATACTACCTCAAATTTTAATGCTAAACTGAAAAGGTATAATAGTAATAATGTTGAATGCCACAGTAACACTGATAACTTAACACCAGTCTGTAAATATGTATCAGCAAAAAGAAGAAAAATGTCTGTCAATAATTGTTCTCAGCCTGAAATCACATCAAGCAGCCAACAAATAATCCCTCAACCTCAGATAAAATATATAGGCAACAACATAATCAAAACAAATTTAAAGAAAAAACGAAATAATCATGTCCCAAAGAAGCTTCATTTGCATTCACAAAACCATGAAAAACCAGTCAATAGAATAAAATGGTGCTGTGATGAATTTAGTAACTTGATACTATCAGCCAGTTTAGATAGCACTGTCAAAATTAGTGATATTTTCCAGAAGAGATGCGTTTACACAATCAAAAGCCATGTGGCCGGGGTACGAGATGCTGCTTGGACAAGTTGTGGCAGAAAAGTTGGCAGTTGTGGGTATGACAAAATGCTGATATTAACAGATTTAGAGGCAGGTTATAACTATGAAATTGCGTCATCTTTCAACTTTATTTTTTTAATGCACATTTTTGTATCAGTTAAACAGAGATTTTCTATAGTATCCATAATTATTATTTCAATATTTAAAACATTTTTAGTTCCTTTATTTCTTATAAAATCAATTTCATTTATTTTATTCAAGGTAAAGATGTATATTCCTACTTACATAGTGAATTCCTAACCAGCATACAATTTCAACCGGGCAATGATAACGTTATGGTCTTAGGATCGAATAATTCTTTGCTGAGTTTTGATAGAAGATTACCTGTTAAGCCTGTTAAGATATTCAAGTATAAAGATCTTTTAGATCAAGTACATTTATCAAAATTTCATTTTTAGTTTTTCAAAAGTTTCATTTAAATAAATTAAATTAGGGATATAATTACAAATTAAAATTATTTTTAATTTATCGAATGTTTAATTCAATTTTCAATTAAAATTCATTTAAATTTATTGAATATTTACTTTTATAAATTTACAGGTGTTAGACATTTGTTTCCTGAATGAAGAGGAATTCGTCAGTTCCTGCAGTTTTGTATGTCGAGAGTCAGCAGATCGTTGCCTCATGGTTTGGGATCTCTCAACTGCTTCTGTTATCTCCAATCAAATTTTTCATGTATGCTTTTTTCTTGATGGATGATTTTCACTAACTCTCTCTCTCTTCATTTCTCTCTCTCTTTCTCTATAGAATTCTCTATCCATCTCTTTCATGTGTTGCATATTTTTCAGTCTATTTCAGTCAAATCATTCCCTTTTTCTCTTTGTATAACAGTTGTACTCAAAAAATTCAAAAATAAATTTACTCTGATCAGCTTCATTATATTTATTCATGATTTATATTTATTATTAATAATTGTTATATATCTGTAATTCTTGATGACAGGAGAAATACACATGTCCAAGAATATGCAAGCATCCATGTAGAAACGAGTTTGTAGCTCAGACGAATGGTAACTACGTTGCACAGTTTCAATCAGAGCCTCCCTATAGAATGAACAAACATAAGCAATTCAATGGACATAAGGTTTAACTTTCATTTATATTTTTCTCAAATTTCATATTTTTTTCATATTCAAATATCCATTTATAGTAACTTTAAAATCTATCTTAACAAATTTTCTTAAAAAATTTCTGAAGGTACTGGGCTACAACGTGGGTTGTGACATCAACCCAAACGGAGGCACCCTAATCAGCGGCAGCACAGACGGCAGGGTGGTCTTCTACAATTATGCCAGCACAAAGTTGCTAACTTCACTAACGACGGCGGCCACGACAGAAAATGACGACGATAATATTGTGCTAGATGTTGCCTGGCATCCGGTGCTGAATGGCATCTGTGCCAGCTCAACATGGAATGGTGGTCTTTATGTTTGGAATTAATTTTCTTCTCATTTGTTATTTCTATTTTAAAAATTTCTGAATTCAAAATTTAAAAACGAGTTTGTTATTTCAATTGAGAATTAATTTAATTTCTGTTATATTATTGATTAAAACAATGAAAACGAATTTAACAACTCTCATAAAAAACTAAATCCTAAAGTATTAGGCATTTTAAAGATGCAAAATAATATTCAGTGACAAGCAAAATTAACAAAAAGGCAACATTTGCCTTAATTAAAGATATTGTTTGTAAAATAAGGTTAATCCGTATTTGAATACGTTGACTTATTGAAATATATATAACCATTGTAACATTCGTGTATGTATATATATATATATATTTATTATAAATATATATATATATATATATCATGCATGTATGCACTGCACACATAGAAAAATAATGTTAAATTTAGTGAAAACGACTTCCACCAAAATTTTTCTTTGGCTGATTGTTTAGTTTGAATGGCTGTACAAGTACAGATTTCTGCTGCTGCTGTTGTGTTGGATCCTCCTTTGCTTTGAAGGTTTGAGGTTGTTGTTGCTGCTGCTGATGTAGTTGTTGAGATGGTCTTAGTTGATATTGTTGTTGGTAACGTTGCTGTTGTTGTATTGGTGGTCTTTGCTGTTGTATCGGTGGTCTTTGTTGATTGTGATACTGTTGTTGTTGTACAGGAGGTCTTTGTTGTGGATGTGACTGCTGGTGAACCAATTGTTGGTTGCTTGGTGGTTGAAATGAGTGGGGCTTTTGTGGCTGTGGAGGCTGTTGTGGGAGATTTTGTTGCATCAGCATATGCATCATTTTAGCCTCAGTCATAGTTGCATCAACACCAACACCACTACTTCCAGTTGCTGCAACACTTTTTATACTGCTACTACTCTCTACGTTACCTACCTTCTTTTCAACTGTTAATTTGTTAGTAGCGGTGGCCGTTGTGCTATCTTCAAACATATCTACAACTGGATCAGCTGACTTTAAGATACTCCTTGGTGTCACCTTAGAGACGCATTCTTTTTTGAACAGGGCGTTCATTCTTCTCGCTAGGTATGGCACCTCATAAGCGTTATTTTTTGCTACATATTCCTTTGAAGAATTTATAAAATACTTTTAGTTAATACAGGGGCCCAAAAACAAAATGAAATTAGTGATTAGTGTTGAAATAGAAATAACTTTAAATTTAGAATTGTGGGCGGAGCTAGTAAAGTGCATCTTTGCTTTGGAACTGTCTTCAAGAAATTCATCACACAGGGAGCAGCAATACGCTTGGACTGGCCTGATGAATTCATTACCTGAAAAAATGAAACAACAGTAAAAATTATTATTAATATTATAAATATAAACTGCTATACACTTGAACGATATAAGTTATCGCAAGTAGTTGAAAGTTAAATTTTTTATCCCAAATTGTTACTAACCCCTGGCCGGCGCACTTTGTGGACCTGAAGGCTGATCTCTTTCTAGCACATCTGACTTCTTCTTCGTCCCTATGTCTTCTGATTTCTGGTTGATTTTATAAAGAAATGAACGAAATTTTCTGAGAGGAAATTTAAAAACTGAGTTAATTCCATGAGTCGGGTGCGGTCGGTTTTGAAAAATTATTCCAACATTAACGAAAAAAACATCGGCCCACAACAATAAAAAAAAACCACTGAAAAAAATTATTAGATTTCCACAACCTGCAATATAAATATTGGTTTTGTATAAAATAACTTAATTATAAACAATGATACGGATTACAATAGACAAAGATAAATCAATCGAAATCTAAAAATAAATTTGAAAAAAACCCACATGCAAATGTTCCTCAGTGTGCAAGTGTAGACACAACTGACCAAAGGATTCAAAGATGAGATCACAGTGTTCACACCATAGATTACCTCCATCAAAAAATTTGCTGGCCTTCATAAACAGGGCAATGGCAAATTCTATGCCAAATTTAACATTCTGTAGCATGTCTTTCTGCTGGATAGCTTCACTGGCGTTTAGGGACTGATCTACCTGTAAATTTGTGACAGGTTTTGCCTGATTAGTCACGTTCTCTTCGGCTGTTGGAGTGCATGTTTCTTTAGAAGCAGCAGTGCTACTGGTTGGTTGCTTTGTTGATTCTTTCACAGTAGTGCTAGCAAGTGTATCAGGAGAAGTATTAGTTAAAAGTTTAGACTTGCTATTATCTTTGTTATCCCTTCCAAAGTTACTTCCACTTTTGCTTGTGTTTTTCCTTGACCCACTTCTACTTCTGCTACCTTGATCAAATTTTCTGTGCTGTCTGGAATTTCTTGAATCAAAACGTCTCCACCTTTGCTTACGACCCCACGGTGACCTTGACCTAGATTTTGATCTGGAACGTGACCTGGATCTTTTGTAACCTCTGGACCTGGATCGGCTCCTGGTAGATTTTTTCAATTTCTTCTCAACGACGTCATCTGAGCGCTTTCTCTGTAAATGACAAGCAAAAATTTTGGTGATTTAAATTCAGAATGAACTTAAGAAAAAAAGAAAAAATTTGTAAAAGAAAATAATTACGTAGTAAAAAACATTCAGTTGGAAACCTTGCTACTATTATTATTGTTGTTGTTGTCGTTGTTGCTGCTGCTACTGGTATTGTTAGAAGGATTGCAGTTATTGAGAGCTATGCTCTTCAGCTTCTGGCACTCAACCTGACTGAGAGTTTCTTTCAAAAGTGCCAGCTGAGTTTTCATATCCTGCTGAGTCTTTAAATTAACCTTCAAAATGTCTTCCGTATCAGGGTTGGGCAGTTTAGACAGCAGAAATTGCCTGTGTTGTTCCAACTTGTTCAACTCCACCTCAACTGCTCTGATGGTGTCGATGATTTCCTGCAAGCTTGTGTCAGTGAAGCTGGAATGAGGTGCTTGTTTGGTGGGGTCTGTCGTCTCCAGCTGGTCCTCCTTGGTGGGTGGTTTTTTATTTCTTTGTGGAGGTGTAGATGTCATTGGTGATTTCTTTTCATCTGCTTTTGAAGTACCTGTCACCATCGTCACTGCTGTTGTATCTTTTGGAGCTGAGTTTTGATTTTGCAATCTTTTCAGGAATTCCTCTGTCTTCTTGTTCCAGTTTGTTGTCTCAGTTTGTGTTTTGCTGGTGTCGCAGCTGCTATCAGTATTGCTGCTGTTGTTGACGTTAGCAGCAGTGTTGTTGCTGTTGTTGCTAGTGATGTTCAACTTTTGATCCAAATTTTGTTCAGTGGCTGGCTTCTTTACAACTTTTACCTGTTCAACTGTTTCACTGGCCTCATAACTCTTCTCCATTGCACCATATCTTAAAATTAAGTTACTAATTGATCAGTTAATTTATCAAAGTGCTAAATAAGAACCAGTATTAAATTATGTAAAATTCTATGATTTTATATAGTTAGTTGAGATATGCACAAGTTTAAATCTATAAAAACAACAACAAAAATTATTCAAAATGGTAGTATTTTTTCAAATATTTTATTATGTGTCAAATTCATTTTCAAAGAAATTAACAAAAACAAGGACACCACATACAAATCAACTTAAAATGAAAAACCTGTCTGAGGGATTGGTAGCAGTTTTTATAGAAGTTTGGGATGATGACTTGAGCACTGGAGTCAATTTTTCTTCTTGTTTGGCAGCTTTTGGTGGATTTTCATTCAATTTTCCAATATCAGAACCCGGTTTTTTCATCTTCTCAACAATAATTTTAGAAAGTTTTTCATCCATGGATATGGTTTTCAAAATGGTGTCGAGTAATTTATTAGAATCAATTTCATCTGCTGTTTCTTCCTGCCGTTGATTTATTTGCAGTACATTCTCACAACTTTCAAATGGATTTGTCGATGTCTTAGCAATCTCGGTAGCATAAACTGACTGAGAATATTCATAGCCCCTCAAATCAGGATCATTTTGATTAGTGTTGTAGAAGTTGGTACCATCCTTTGCAAACTGCTCATACCTAGAAGGCGGTCGTTGTTCTTGAGAACTAATGACATCGAATTCATAATTCTTGCCACTGTTATATGTAAATTTTTCATTATTCAGCCCACCGTGAAAATAATCAAATGATGCCTCCAATTTATTTTGATATCTTTGGTTTCCATAATTGCTTCCGTCAGCAAATACATTAGACTTGCCATACAAAAACTCATCTTCATCATCAACATTATACCCAACATTGTTATTATTATTATTTTTATTCAAGAGATTAGTGTCAGAACTTCTCTGGCCTAGATTTCCTTTTGTACATTTCCCTTCGGTTTGATCGGGCTCTGCTACCTTGAGTGAACTCCTACTTAGAGCCAGTGTGTTTTTCAACATGGCCAGTAACTCCTCTTTGCGTTTGGACATCTGGTGAAATTTTTTAAAATTAATTTCTAATCGATCTCTAAACGAAACTAATTCATTAAAAAAAAATTCGAATTCATTTTAAATAAAAAAATTACTATTATGCACATATATATAAATTGTATTGTACATACATCATAGTATTATATGTATATATAATATATATAGTATAATATGTATATACATATATATGTATAATATTATGTATATATAATTAAAATTATATGTATATCTATATATTAAGAAGATGACGATGGTGAAATATCTAATATAATTACTATTATTGAATTATTACTAATTAAAAAAAAATTTAAAGTAACTTGGCCCTTCACACAATAAAGTAAAATAGAGGAGTGAATTTTTTAATAATATTTATAATTTGTACGTCAACCTCTCTATTACACACCCTACAAACAAACAAGGATCTACATACAATACAACCTGTCACTTAATTTAATAATACAATCAATATTTAATAGTGAATTATTAATTAAATTGTGTATTTATTCATTAATTTATTCATTAATGTTTATTTTATTTGGGTATTTCATAATGAACATTTAAGATTTTTAACTCAAATTCAAATAAATTAATTAATTATTAAATGAAGAGTTGTTACCAGAAAAAAATTATTCTGAACTGAAATGAGAAAACCAAATCAGGAAAGAAAAAACTAATTGTACAATACTAGAATGTAAAATCTAGCTTGTAATTTTGAAAAAGTCTTTAAATTTAAAATTAATTTATTAAATTAATTAATTTAAGATACAAAAGTTTTATATCATAAAATTAATTGCAATCACTAAATTTCTAATTTAATTAATAGAGCTCAAAATTGAAAGATTTGACTATTTTAAAAAATTTTTGGCATTTTTGCACATGGACGCCATTAAAATTAAATTAAAAGTTGAAAAAGAAAAAGTGATGGGTTTGGTTATTATACCCAATCTACTCAAGAGAACCACTAAAAATTACTTAAATATCTCAAAATTTTTAATTTTATAATTTTCTACCAATTTCACTGAATTACTAACTCTGCGGTTATGAAAACTTTGCAAAGCAAAAAAATTTTTTAAAAAACAAACGTAAGCGAAAATGGATTTACTTAAAATACGAAAACAAACATGCTATGGAAAGCCAATGAATGTTTGCATTATCAACATGAAAAATTATCTATATTAAAATAAGCGCTTCGTGAATACATATCATACACACACACATATACATTATATATATATATATAAATCTTGAGCCAAGTAACATATTTGTATTACCAAATCAAACAGCAAACTAACAAATCATTATGTATTTAAACGAAATTAAAAATGAACAAATGGTTTAAAATTAAAGAATAAATGAATAACCAGCAGATCATAATTATATAATGAAAAAATTGTAAAATATATATACCAAACATCCGTGTACCTTATATAAATAAGTACAGTACGCATATAATATGTAAATACACGGACTAACATACACACTCATTTAAAGAAATGAGCGCACATATATCTAGATACGTACGTGAATGTATCATAAAAAATGAGTTTATATGAAAAAATAAATCTACAAATATGGCAATTAAGTCTAACTGAAGACAAGGGTCTTAAAATCAAGACACAGTAAGCGTGAATACGCATGTGTGAAATAAATAAATTATATAATAATTATATATATATAATTACTTATTAAAATAATTATTATTTTAAGTTATTATGATCATAATTATTATCTAAGGTGCAGGAGAAATGAGACGGGATTTTCCAGATAAGATTTCCAGAGGTTAGAAAACCTGTTTGGAAATTATTGCGTCACATATTATCACCGTCACCATCATCAATAACAACATCGCCATCTCAATTATCATCATCAATACCCCCATCATCGTCATCATCATCACCACCCCTCCACCACCACCATCATCATCGTCATCATTGTGACCTAGCTAAAGTTGCCCCGTCAATGACCCGATGGTCAGCTGACCAGCTGATGTTCATCACGTGGGCCGGAACGACTTTACCCTCGCCATCGTACCTTGGAACTTTCTAGAAAAGAATTTGATCGAAATTATCGCTATCAGATGATCATTATCATCACTACCAGATGATCATTATCATCACTACCAGATGATCATTATCATCACTATTACGTAATCATTATCATCACTCTAAGTGAAAATTGTATCATGAATGCCACAACCGTCATTTTTATCATCACAAACATCACATTTTTATCATTATTGTCACAACCATCAGTTAAATGAAAAAATAGAGCTAAAAGCTGCAGGATCTAACTGTAATCGAACCAAGGGCCCCTATGACAACCTCAGGCACGAATATGACTGGCTTCGTATACGTTCCTCCTATCTACACAGAACAAATGGGTATATAAATAAATAATAATTTTTCAATTACAAACAAAATGAAACGAATAAAATAATCAAACGTTTCTAAGTAATCGCACTGGGCTGAGATCTCTTAGCATTCAGGTCGTCACGACTGCAATGTACGTACGACAGACGAGGACGCGCGTTGCGTTTTGTTGCGTCACTATTACGTCGTTTTCGGCATATGCAACTTTTAATTCTTCAAAATTCTCAACCTCTAACTCACAACACAACAACAAAACTACGACAATTAAACTTAAAAATTATCATAGACAAGATAATGCTTAACTATTAAACACCATTTTGTATCAATTTCGAATTTTACATCCCTACCTAACTCCTAACTTACCATTCCGACATTGGAAAGCGTAAACGTTCCACCCGTCAAATCGGCCAACCCTAATTTTCCGGAGGCGGCCAGTTGCATTAGCCTGCTAAGTTCTGAAGCAACTTCAAGTACGTTTAACTGACCGACGTTTTTAATGTTAGGGACGATTAAACCATTTGGGCTGTCCATAGCCACTCCGATATTGTGTGAACCCTAAATGTGATGACGAAGATGATGATGATGCAGATGATGATGAAGATGATGATGAAGAAGATGATGAAGATGATAATGATGATAACCTTGTATATTACGTTCTTGCATTCTTCATCAACAGATGAATTCAAGATTGGGTAGTGGAGCAAGGCAAGGGATGCTGCCTGTGTGATGTGATTGGTTATTCAAATATGCATGATTTGTCGTGTGGCGTGATGTTATTGGTCAGTTTGAGTGCTATGTAAGATATCACGTTATTTCATTGTTCAGATAAATTATAGTACGATATAGAGAGAGAGAGAGGGGGGGGAGAAAAGAGAGAGAGAGATAAACAGAGAAAGAATAACACAAACAAGAAAACTAACTTTAACAAATAGAGAGGTATATGAAAACTTGACACCGTACTTCCGTGCCGTCTCCTTCATGAAGGGCTTCATGTGAACTAACTCTGAAACATTCACCTGCATCAAATGAATGAGATGTCTCAATTTTAAGTGAATTATCAAACAATAAAAAATAAATTAACAAAACGCCTGTATCAAGTAAAAAACTAGAATAAGAAGAGTGTAACATAACACCCTAGACATACAAACACGCACACACTCACAAACATACACGCACAACATAACACCCTAGACATACAAACACGCACACACTCACAAACATACACGCACACAAACATTCACATTCACACACACACACACACACACACACACACACACACACACACACACAGGCAAACCTCATCACAGAGACTAAAATGTGGTACAGAATTGGCAGCAGTCATTGAGGCCACCATGGCTTTCTTCATTCCAGATATGACCTCCACTCTGTCTTTTGGGGCTTCCACTGACCTAGAAATCAAGGGCAAAACTGGGTCGGGTCGCGTAACTGACGTCGTAGATGTTGGTAACGATATTGAGGCCGTTGTTGGTGGTGGTAAGGGTTGTTTTGTTGTGGTTGTGGATGGAGGGTTCACTTCTATGGCTGCAGTTTCTGTTAAGAATTTGATTCTGAACTATATAAATTAACAAAGATGTACATGTGTCATTGATTAAAAAAAGAAATAATACAAATAACCATTATTTTTATTATTATTTATCACAAAAAAGTATAAAAAAACGGACCCAAAGATTTCAAATAAGCAAAGATATCCTCTTTTAATATTCTGCCATGCTTGCCTGAGCCAGTCACTTTGTACAGATCAACCTTAGAATTACAAAATTATTTAACGAAATCAGAAAATTAATTAAACTTTCATTTAATTTTTAATTATTCAAAATATATTCATTTGAAAGATTGATCGGATGAACCATCCAGACCTTCTTAACACTGGCTAAATGGCGAACAGCCGGTGTTGCTATAACCTTCCTCTCTTCTTTCTTCAGTCCATCCTTGGCCTCAATGACATCATCATCACTATCAGATGAAGAAGAAGATGACGACGATGTGATGTTATCATTTGTGGATAAGCCTAGTGATAAAAAACAGGTTGATCATGAAATGGCGTTAATGATGATGACGGTGATAAAGAGGAGATCAACAACAACAGTAACAACGTTAAAATAAGAACATAAACAATGCAAATAACATTGAAAAAACAATATTTACTATAGAAAAATCAGCCCGACCGCAACAAAAACAACAACCGACCCTGACCTTCAAGATTACCCTCGACCTCAATGTCAACCAAGGGCTGGCCGACAAGGGCAGTATCGTCAACGGCATGGTACAACTTTCTAACGATACCATCATACCTGCTGGTGATAGTGACCGAGGCCTTGTCGCTCTGCACCTCGCATATACTGTCAAATTGGGCTACTTTGTCGCCCTCCGTTATGAACCTTTCAAGTTGAAAAGGTATTTTTACTTTATTAAGGTTAACATTTTTAGAATTTTCATCTACTTTCAATTGTTATTGTCATATGGAAGCATGCATAATTAAAAAACTTAATAAATTATTTCTTACCATTCTTTCAGCAAGACTTCCCTGATACCCTCCCCAATATCTGACAGTTTGAATTGCACTATCTTCGTCGGAGATTTCTCAGTTTTTACTGAATAGGATTCTGTTTGGTTTGGGTGTGAAAACAACAATAAAGTTTGAGAAATGAATTTTTAGATTATTTTTATTTAAAAAATTTAAAAAATCACAATAGATAAAAAAACACAAATTCTGACTTTAAAATGAACATAACCAAAACCAAGCATAGATAGTCTATTTTCAGATAAAATGTTTTCAAATTTAAAAATTAGGAAAAAATAGAATCCACAAACTATGTGGCAATAGGATGTGGTTAGTTGTTGGGATCAAAAAGACACCATTTAAAGATGGTCTAGGCGTTGTTCTACATTTTACCATACAAAATTCCTGCTGAAAGCTACAATGAAGTGGCCGGATTAGGAATTTTTTAGTAAATGACTTTGTTAAAGAACTGGACGCCAAACGGAAAAACTGAAATATAATAAAATTTAAAGTAAAAAATTCATCAAGCAACAAAAATTCAATTTTTAACAAATCTCATTTGTCCTCACAAGTTTGTTTAAACCTTTTCCAGTGAAAAATAAATAAATGGGTGAACTGAATAGTTATAGTTCAGTTTACCAATAGTTAATTAATTAAATTAAAATTTTTAAATTAAATTATGGTCTGACATTATTTGCAGACAAACATTAAACAAAAGCGTTGGATAATTTAGATCATGATAAAAAAATCAATGCAAAAAAACAATTTCTACACGATCTAAATAAAATAATTGAATGTCAAGCCTTCTCTTAATAGAAATTAAACATTTACTTGCGATCCTCCGACTGAAAAGAAGGCAGCCATTTTATTTTTTGGACTTTTTCCCGTCAAAAGTGAATTTAAATCTTATCATAACCATGGTCAAAAACTGACTGAGAGCACCCCATATAACCATTACACCCAAGCCATAAAAATGCTACATGGAAAGCGAAATTTTAAAATCTCTTTTTGCAATGAAACAGCCCAAGCAAGTGAAAATCAAATAATCAGAGTTCAGATTTTATTAAAAATTCATCAGATCTATCATCATATACTTCATCATCGTTATCATTTTTATCCCAGCCATCATCATCATCATCATCATCATCAAAACTGCCCACGTCATCATTATCATCGTCGTCATCATTATCTACGTCATCACGTCCGTCATCTCCATCGGAATCATCCACATTATCGTCATCATCGTCAACTACACCATTACCAATCACATCAGCAGTATTATCAGAATGACCATAAAAACCATCATCAAAGTCATCATCACCACCATCATCATCGCCATCATCATCTTTCAAATATTTATCATAGACAGCAAAGTTATCCTGACTGTAATGTCTATGGAATGAAATAGGCCGTCGATATTTGAGTAAACTGGGGTGATAGTCACGTGGTTGGGCCTGATGAAACCGGGAATCGTGGCTAATACGGATATTTAGGAGCGCCAGACACGACCCTGATAACAATTATGATATTACCAGTAATTGTAGTATCAGCAAAAAACAATAATAATAATAATAATAATAATAAACAATAATAATTATAATAGAATAATTATAACAAATAAATTATAATTATACCCAATGTCATATCGTCAGGGGAGTCGTCCCTGTTGCAATAACATGCTCGGCTGTCAATCAACTTGAATAATCCCGCCCTACTTACTGCCATTCTATCATGTAAATGGGGTATAATAATAATAATAATTATTAGTGTTATAATAAATAATAACAACAACAGAGTCGTCATAACCAAAGACCATTCTCAATACCACAATCGTCAAATAAGGCAACAATGTCATCCATCACAATCTTCATTCTCATCCTTCTCGCCATCAAAACTTACCCTCCCCCCAGAGTAATATAATCATAACCGTATCCTCTCACCACACCGAATCCATATCTCTCTCCCAGGAAGATGACGTCATTGTAAGGATCGTAGCATTTTAGCGTTGTAGTTAACCTATTCAAACTGTTCAGAGCAAAAATATAAACATAGACACATGACTAAATAAATCTAAATAAGTATATAGAAAGAGAGAGAAGAAAAAAAGAAAGAGAGAGAGAAAGAGAGAAAGAGAGAGAGTAACCTTATTAGCGTGTCGTCATCGACCACAAGCAACCAATGATATCTTTGGTTTAACTTGAACAGGTTGTATGCTTTCTCCAGTATCAGTAACAACTTCTTGCAGTGACCTTGTGGTGATGATGATGATGATGGTGATGATAACCATGTTGTTGCCAATCATCATCATCACCCACCACCACCACCACCACCACTATTATTATCAATAATAAAAATACCTATTTCTGTGTTAGGGGTACCGACGTATACGGTAGGGATGACGTCATCACGAACGTCACTGAAGTAAGTTAGATGTTTGGCATTCTTACCCCAGGTCGAATTCAAGACTGAAACTATGGGAAGTAAATTTGGACAGTCGGCAGTTGTCATAAAAAAAAGTAATAATAATATTAATAATAATTGCAATAATTATAATAATAATAATTATTATTATTATTATAACAATAAAAATGACAAAAACTAACTTCGTTCTTTATGAAATTTGGAGCAGGTTTTCACAGCTACAAATACATTGTCAAGGCCAGTATCAAATCTACGTTTCTATAAATAGATAATGATGGTGATGATGACGACGCAGATGATAGTAGTGATTGTAACGATGATGAGGAGGACGACGACGAAGATGACGATGATGATGAGGAGGAAGACGATGACGATGATGATGGCTGTGTGACGACGATTGCGATGCCTAAACGGACAACAACTCACGCATTTTGAAAATTTATAAGAGCCATAAATTGCACATTCATTCCGGTGATAGAGATGATGTTGCTGTGGATGATGACGCTGCTGCTGCGGCCGCGTGTGGTAGTTGTGGTCATCTTCCACATGACTGCAAATGAAATCGAAATTTGTCAGCACGGTCTGACTCTGCTCGTAGATGTACTGGGCTAGCTGCAGTGAAAACACACACCATGAAAAAACTCCATTAAATGGTATCAAGTCACTCGATCCAATTTGTAAAAAAAAAAAATGAAAAATGTCGAAGCAGCACTTGAAATGAAGCTGCCGAGCAATTAAATGAATAATTATAGTAATTATTATTACTATAATAATAATAATTATTATTGGTATTATTATTATTATTGTTGTTGTACTGACCTCGTAATAAGCGTCGATTGAAAAATCAATTGTGACAGACTCCCTCTTGAAAGATTTTGCCAATCTGTAATCAATAATAACAATAATAACAACTATAATAATAAATAATAATAATAATAATATTATTATTATTAAAAATTCATAATAATATTAGTAATAATAGTAAAGAGATATAAGAACATAACGAAGAATCAATGGAAAAAAAAACGCATCAGCACTTTTTAAGAAGTGGCCGAGACAAGAAGAATCCTAATTCGTGATTGGGATATGGAAAGTCTAGGCCATTTTTAACGTTGTAGTGATGGATGATTGATGGCTGTGTGTCTCTCAGCAGCTGGCCACCAAATAGGTACTGGATGTATGTGCGTATGTATGTATGTGTGGTGTTGTATGTGTGTTGTATGTATGTTTGTGTGTGTGTATGTGTGTGTGTGTTGCATGCATGTATGTATGTATGTATGTATGTATGTATGTATGTATGTATGTATGTATGTATGTATGTATGTATGTATGTATGTATGTGGTGTGGGCGTACATATATATGCGTGTGTGTGTGTGTGCGTACATCAGCAGACCAAAAAAAACAACCTCGTTAAAATCGATCTTCGCAAATTCTCTTGACAAAACTTCCAAATTAACTTTTACAGCCGGCTCATCTTCATCTTCATCCCCATAGCCATTAAGAAATAGAACAGCCTTACATGTTTTACACCTCTTGTATAAACTTGTAAAACAACATCATTATCATCATCAACAACAACGTCACCATCATCATCAACAACAACATCATTATCATCATCAACAACATCATTATCATCATTAACAACAACATCATTATCATCAACAACAACAATGCAAACAACGTCAAACTTTTTTAGCATTGGCAATATTGTCCAGCCTCCTAATTCATTCAGTGAATGTTCATGATGACCATTGGTGACGTCATCATCATCATCATCATCATCATTCCTTCTACTGCCACCATCGTCATCATCATCACCTTCATCGTCGTCATCATCATCATAGAGTGATGTAACTTTCAATCTTAACAGATGTTGCTGAACGAGAAAATTGATTTCAATTAGCTTCTCATTTGATCATTCATTCAATTAGGAAATTCAAATTTTTTTCATCATCATCGTCGTCATCATCACCATCATCATCATCATCGTCCTCCTCATCATCACCATCATCATCATCATCGTCCTCCTCATCATCATCATCGTCCTCCTCATCATCACCATCATCATCATCATCGTCCTCCTCATCACCATCATCGTCGTCATCATTTCATAGCCAACTAAACCAACGCTTGAAAATGATTGTTTTTGAAAATCCCTTCTAAACTTTTTGATCGCTCCCTTCTTGCCACTAGTCAAGATAACAGCCAAGACATCAGGCACTATGATGAATAAATAAAATAAATAAAAAAATAAATCAATAGAAAATACAATTAACATTTTAATATAATATCGCTATAATAAAACTATAATTAAATTAAAATGTAATAATAATCATTATAATTAATGCAACAACGAAATACAAACCATCCTTAGAACTACTTGTATTAGTAGCTATACTGTCAAAAACACCAAAATCATTAATGTTGATTTTTTGAGTAGTTGTTGTAGTAACAGTTGTAGTAGTAGTGGTAACAGTAGTAGTAGTAGCAGCTGTAGTAGTAGCAGTTGTAGTAGTAGCAGCTGAAGAAGTAGTAGTAATAGTAGTAGCAGTTGTAGTAGAATAACAATTTAATAGTGATAGAGTTGTCAAATAGATGATCATTTCAAAACCCACAACCACAGACATCTTTCTCATCATTTATCATTCGTCATACATAATTTATTTTTTGTTAATATTTTTATTAATTTATTTATTTTTACCAATTTTATTATTATTTTATTTATTTTGTACTAATATTATCATTTAACTAAATTAAACAAAGTTACTGCACTCTATTTTAATTCATGTATTTATTTACAATAGTAGATATCATGCTTATTTTGCAATACATTTCATTTAGTTTTAGTACGACTAGTTATAAAAACATACAACATCATGACCAGCTAGAAAAATACATACATAAAATACTTTATATAAATACTGTTGTATATATAGTATATCTACATAGATATATATACAATATGCATATACATTCATATATATATTATATATATATATATATAACACTACATTACCTAGTTATCTATGATAATACAGATACCACTAGACTAGACCCATCTGATAAGTAAAAAATTAGGTGTCATTTTAAAATGTAATAAGACTAGCTTTATTATTTTTGACTACTATAGTATAGTGAGTGTGTAAGTGCTGGAGTTAATTAAATAAAACTATTAAAACTTAAAATAAAAACTGGGTACCCTACTTTCACTTTTATAATTATAATATAATGATTTTATAATGTTATATAAAATTTATTATAAATAAATAAATGATTGGCTTTTATTAGTCAACTAGTTAGTAATCAAGCAGTTATTGTCATTAATTAAGAGATAGACATTGTTAGAAAACTTTAAAAAAGTAAAAAAGATAGGGCGAAATTTGCGGTGAATCAGTGCCTTTTAGACTTTAGTTAATTAGTAATTTAGTAGTTAGATTGACAGGTTGAGAGATGAAATACTCAACTAAACGTTCGTCGTTCAACAGTTTTCCTTGATTTTGTTCGTGGTTGGGTATTTAATAACTTTTCCTAATTTCATTCACGTATTAAATATTTACTAGTAACTAAAAGATTAAAAGATATTTAAGGTTTAACAGTAAAGTAAACGAAACCGTTGAACTTTAAAAATACCAAGATTCAACTTTAAACACTAAACCAGAGATGTACGGTTTTTTGAACATTTTTTAGCAAGTATTTGAACGAATAGCAACCATTAAAATCTAATAATACAAAAAAACTACAAAAGTTCGGCCAAGGTTCGAACTTGGATCGCCAAATTCAAAGAATGCCGTGTATAAATAAATCCGTCGTAAGAAAAAATATAACTTTTATTTTATAAAATAATTAAACATGCAGTAAAGTCCGTTGAAATCATCCATAAATTACATTTGGAAACGTATACAAGAGGTTTTAGCGCATTATACATGAAAAAAATTAAAATTTGTTATTTATGCCTATTTATATTTTTCGAGGAAAGCTTTCCTGATGATGTTCTGGGAGGAGATGGTGACTTTTTCGTTCTTTTCTTGATCTTAAATTGAAATAAAATAAATATAGTAACAATAATAATAATAAAGAACTAATAAAATTTACCAAAACCAAGTAACAGCAAAACCAAAATTAGCTAGTACCACTTAACATCAGCTGACAATTAAGCGTATAATGTGACAGCAAATCAAAATCACATTTACAACACAGAATTATGACGATAACAAAGATCTCCATCACAACACTAAAAGTAATTAATAATAATTATAAAAGTAATTAGGACAACTTTCTGTCGCATGTATCCGTGTTCTTCCAGCAAGTCCTTCGTGCAGGCATTGATGTGCCTGAAACGGTCGGGTCCTAAATGAATGCCGCCGTACCATCTCGAAACAACAACCAAGACGTTTTTGGCATCCATTTGCTGTAAATAAGTACATACATCAGAATCCAACATTTGAGTGCAAGTTATAAAATTATATCATACCTACATATTCATACTGAATTGAATAAAAATGAGTGGTTACTTCTAATAGATGGAGCATTCTGTTGCCAGCATGGTGTTCACCGTCGTCATATGAGCCGGAGTTTTTCCCACCAATATCCGAGTCAATCCTGTAGGCTATGATGTTATGGGTGGCGTCTGCTATTTTTTTATTTTCCTTCAGCTTATTCACCACCATGTGCACCTAAGAGACGATTATTAAAATAAAGTTTAATGGCAACTGTTCAGATTTTACAAATAAACCTCCTAACCTAACCAAAGTTACTAAACTGATCAAATTCCACTCACTTGTTTTATATGATAAACTGGCGCCAAATGCCCTTGAAATTCACTCTTTCTGTCTGTAATAATCCGACCGTCGTAGATAGGAGGCAGCTCTGAGACAAGTAATTCACTAGATTACATATTTTTGTTATAGTTGTGTTAGCTTTAGTTAGATAAAGATTACAAAACTATAACGAGTTAGCACTATAAAATTTTGTGAAAACTGTAGAAAGAACTGAACTTTTCACATAATAATTTACAACTAAAAATTAGAGTAGTAACTCTTAGAGAAATATAGAATTAAAACATGTTTTAACAATTTGTTAGCCACTTATACGTACAAAAATCTGATGTGGTCGCCTTTGAACAATTAACTAACCATCTTCAGTTTTTATCTCGGGCTCTTGGATGGGAATATAAGGCTTATATTCATAATCGTAACTATCACCACCTTCAATAACGACCTCATCAACGAGCTCATGATCACTTTTTGGAATTTCCTGCGACATCCCAGCTTGAAAGATTTATTGAAAGATTGAGAATATGACATGACCTAAATGATACATCTGTATATCACAATATAATTCTGTGACCTAAACTGTACTAGGTATTTGAATATATATATATATATATATATAGGATATATATATATATATATATATATATAAACCAAAGTCAATTCACTATTATAATTATGTGACCGCAAATAAATTTGAATTATTACCGTCTAGATTTTTTGCCAAAATAAAATATACCTGTGTACACATTCATGCAAAACAAAGAGACAAGAGACACATTGGTATTATATTACATATAATCTAATTAGAAAGAAAATATCAAATAAAATGTAAAAGTAGAAGGAAGACCATCTTTTGGTGAATTTTCAATGACAGGCTTTTGTTCTAAGACACTTTGGCTGGCAAAATCTTTTAAAAATTCTTGAATCCTTTCAGCCCATAGATAAACTATAGACTCACCGACGTTATTACTTTGAGAAAAAAAGGATAAATTACTTGTAAATTTTAACTCTTAACAATTTGATGACTATTTTAAAGATTGAAACATTTCTTAACATCACATAATACAGTGTCAAAACCATTAAACAAAAGTTGTGTTGAAATAATGCCATGTTTAAAAACCAAAAAACCTACCAGTAAATTTCGCCGAGAATTGAATCGAGTTCATCCAATTCCCTACTATTTAACCAAGGAGCTCTTTTTGAAAGTTAAAAAAGAGAATATTTTATAAATGTTATGTTGTAGATTTACAGTCTATCAATTAAACTTATAGAAGTATTCTTCGTTTATTGTTATTTTGAGGTATAATCTATTTTAAAATTGAAAATAATAACAAAAAAGAACATTAAATAACAATAAATGTATAATTATAATGATTGTTCCAGAATGAATTATATATTACCGAATTCTATAGATAGGTGGAGCTTCACTGGGGTAGTTAGGAGTGAACTCAACCTATTTGAGAGAATTTTTACTTCGAGAAAACAATTTTTAGTCTTAATTACACAATTGTAATTAATTCTCATTGCTAATAAACGATCATAACAAGCTTCTTAATATTAAAAGTTTGTGAAATAAAACTTTAAATGAAAATTGGAAAAAGACAACAGAACATTAAAAATAATGAAAAATATAACAAAATAACTAATAAACGTGATAGAAAAAACACTAACATTCAACTCTAAAGAGAAAATATTTTTATCAGACGATTCTTCTTCTATTACAATTTTAAATTTTCGATTATTTTCTTGATCAAGAGAGAACTGTTTGTAAAATATGGCTTCCAGAGCCTGAATCTCATCATCCTGTTCATATTTGTTACTAGTTTGAAATCAAAAAGTCCATCAAATTTTATTACAACTGAATTTAAATATATATATGTATATAAATATGTTGTTGTATAACAAGAATACTTGCACAGGACACTAACAATAGTTGTTAAATAATAAATATTTACAGCAGATTACATACACAACACACACATAAACACACAAGTGTAGACCATCTTCCTATTCTGTATTCCTACGAATACCATCTTCGAACACCAAAAATGGTATAGAATAGCAATAGCAATACCAGAAAAAGCTTTTTTGTTCTATCATGCTTAAAATAAATAAAAATCTTGGTTCTGAACTCAAGACACTTGACAAAAAAAGAAATCTGGAAAAAAACATTTGTAGGTAAAGGTTTTTCCCAGAGATTAAATTAAAATTTATATATTTTTTAATAAAATACGAACCTGTCTGCTCAAGTTGTCTTCTTCATTGCAACTCATTATTTTCTTTCTTTAATAATTTTCACTAATAATAGTTAATAAATACCTAACAACACAAATCAGAATCACTCGGTAATTGAGTAATCAGTGACTTCAGATTTCACTAATAATCCCCATTCAATCCAACTAATACTAATCCTAATCGATCGGCCGGTGATGACGGATAACTTCTTAAATGACGGGAACGGCGTGAGTACGAACAATGAACGGAAACGAACGAACGAACAAGCAAACGCAACCGATTAACAAACGCAATGCAATTTGATAAAAAATTTACTCACTTACTTATAAAAACGATCTAAAACGACATTTTTCAGAAGAAATCGCGTACGAAGTTCCTTCGCATTCCGCAACGACCACGCACTGATGAAGATAAACTGAAACTGGGAATTTTCACCAAAGAAAATTGTTTGATACAATTTAGTAGCAGTATACAGTAGTATCATTGAATTATATTATATTACAATCTAATCTCCACAATTTCGAGATTTTAGTAAAGAAAGACAAACACAGTAGTTGCTTTTATTTGAACTCAATCAAAAATTAAAAGTGGCGGTAATTATAGTTTTAAAAACGTCCATTTTTTTAAAATTCGTATTTTAAACAAACAAATATAACAAAATAATAGCTAAATCAACATACCAGACAGTATGCATATATAGGCCTACAAAGTAAATCAAGAAATATCCAAAAATTATATAACCATTTAAAAATCTAGATACCAGTCAACATTTAATAAATAAATAGACATTATAAAAAGATTGCTCAAAAAGGTAAAATTCAAGGCGACGACGAGAATGAAATGTAGTTTGTTTTGTTGGTGTGGTGCTGTGAAGCGAAAACAAACAAACACATCACACAAAACTAGTAAGAAGTCGCAAGAATAGTAGTCAGTCACCTACCTACAATTAAATTACTCTCAGGGCCCTGGCTTACTTATAATCATTAACTCAACTCACCTACCTACGAATTTGTATTTCTACGTTTTAGGAATTTTACATGTTTCAGATATTTTATTTAACATATTTTAGTGTTTTTATTTTACTTGAAACTTTTTAACTAATGTTAAGCCCTAGCCTACTTAAAATTGTTCAACTCATCTCAATCCCTAACTTACCTATGAATTAAATTAAGTCCGGTAAAGAAAATAGATAGTTGAAGAGAAACATAACAACGACACCGAATGAATGGATGTTGTGTATGTGTGTGTTGTGTTGATGTGTGTGTGTGTAAATGTGCGCGCGTGTACTCTCCAGACACTTCTTATCGTCATCTTCAAATTGTCATCGGAACGATCATCTTCAGACCACCATCTGAAACGTGCTGACGCCCACCACAACCCACTTCTCATCATTCTGTAGACAAAATTTTTTATTAGCGTAGTAGTAAATGAATGTTAGAATCTTAGAAGAAAAAATTATAAAATGAAAATAATGGCAAATAAATAATATTTCAAAATAATAAAGAGAGTAAAATATAAAAAAACTTACTTTCGTCCAATCGACAAAGGCATAATGTTGAATGCCTGAGTGAGTGAATGAATTAATTAGTTAAGTAATCAATCAATGATTCAATGATTAAAAAAATAAATTAATGGAAAAATAATTTGAAAGATTGAGTGATAAAATGAACGAATGAACGAATGAATGAACGAATGAACGAATGAATGAATGTATGAATGAATGAGAAAAATTAAAAGACGAAACTAAACCTTACTTCAAAAATCGTCGTTACTGCACTCGATTGCACCGACCACCATCATCTGGTCGGCACACAAGATTTCATCCGAACTTCAGTGTCAGCCGAACAGCCAACGAGCTGATTCTTCCTACACCACCATCATTATGTTTAAATCATCATGAGACCACAATCTGAAACGTGCTGACTCCCACCTCTGCCCACCTCTCATCATTCTGTAGACAAAATTTTTTAATTAGCGTAGTAGTAAATGAATGTTAGAATCTTAGAAGCAAAAAATTATAAAATGAAAACAGTGGTAAAATAGTATTTTAAAATAATAATAAGAGTAAAATGTAAAAAAAATTTACCGTCGTCCATTCGACAAAGGCAGAATTTTGAATGCGGTCCGGTTCCTACGTTGTCCTCCAAAACTGGTGCAAGTCCCCCGAGATTCTTGTTGAAACACAGCCCGTGGGATGGAAAAAGATAAAGAGAAGATTCTCATCAGAAAGCTTAGCGGTGCCTGCATCTCTAATTGCTTAATAAAAATAATCCTATCTACCTATTCAATTAACTTAACTAATCTATATAAAATTGTTAATGGTACGATAGTCGAAAGTCCCCCTTCATTCTCCCTCCTTGCACAGAGGTTCACCGACAGCCAGAGCACCGGATAGTAAACCATTGCCGTGCGGATAGTAGACTATTGCCGTGCGGATAGTAAACCATTTGCCGTCCGGAAGCCGTGCGGGTAGTAGACTATGGCCGTGCCGCATAGTAAATCATTACCGTGCAGTTAGTAAACCATTGCCGTCCGGATAGTAAACCATTGCCGGTTACTGGCCACCAAAGCTTACCTCCGACAACGGGCTTTGAAATTCAGAGTCTATCGGCTATCGTACCCTCAACTTACCTATTCATTACAATTAAGCCCTAGCTTACTTAAAAATTACAAAACTCAAGAGCCCAATTCATTGGCCAATTGGCACCCACCCCACCACCTACGTAATGCCTTGGGCTCCAACTTAGTAATAATAACATAAAACTTAAACATAAACCCTAAATCTATTAATGAGTATGTGTTACAACGTAGCCTTAACTTACCTATTCATTACATTATGGCCCTAGCTTACCTAAAATTACAAAACTCAAGAGCCCAATTCATTGGCCTTTCGGCACCCACCCCACCACCTACGTAATGCCTTGGGCTCCAACATAATAATAATAATGTAAAAATTAATAATTAACCTACCTATCGATACACTTACAGCGTTTTAATTTACATTACAAGATTGTTCCTAGAATTACATTATTGCCCTTAACTACCTATGAAATTAAATTACTCTCAGCCTTAGTAATAATAAATTAGAATGTGTAATGAAAATAAAATTACGCTCAAATACTAACATATGTGTTTATGTATGTATTTGTGTGTAATACGCTGATGCGTGTAATGTGGGTGCAAGAAAAAAATAGAAGCGATAAACTTACGCGCCTACCTATTCAACTACATTAGTGTTGGATGCTTCCTATCTATCCTACCTACAATTAAAATTATGCCTATCTACC